TTCAGCTTTGTGTTGCTAGAGTATTGTTCAAAGACAGTCAAAAGATGTGTGTGTCCCAAACTACTTTAGAACACATACAAACACTACTTTTTCTTTACCATTATCCCACTGCTCAGTGTGAAGGCCAGTTAGCTTTCTCAACAGATTTATGCTGGATACATTACACTAAGATAATTAAGATAAAGGGGATGTTTAAAGCAGGAAACCAAAACACAAGTGAATCAAGCAGGCTTATTGGCAAGAACAAAATATATCCCAGCCTTACAGAAGGAGTCAGGTTCTGACCTCTTGCAGGTGCATGTCTTCGTTGGTGAAATTCTGAAATCTGAGTGAAATCAAGACCAGAGAGAGGCCTCGTATTTGCATAGAGCTTCCACCTGTTTTGTTCCTCTGCTGCATGAGACCAACCTAAATGGCTTTCACCAAACTGGAACACAGAGTGGCAGTGTGTTTGGCTGGGTGTACGAGGAGTGTGAGTAGGTGCAGGAGTGCACATGACAAAACATTTCAACTGGTACGAGGATGGCTAAGGTGAGGTATTGCACATGAGATCCTATGCTTGTGAATGGGGATAAAAGGGAGTGCCCTTTATTTACACTGGAAAATTGGATGCACAAGTTATACCATACCTCATGGATGATGTATGTTGCCATTTTTTTGGGATTACGACAGCTGCTGAGGACTTTGCCATGCTTAGAATATAATGGAGTATATTAAGCACAAAATTTCAATATTGTGTCTGTGTATCTGCTACTTCTACAGTCTGTTTAGTGTTCGGTAGTGTCCATGTCACAAATGCAAAGAGAAAGTTGTTACTTTACCATGTTTTTCAGGGCTTGCATGTTCTAGTAGAATAAATACAGGTAAAAATATAAGAAGAGCCTTTTCAGATAACACATAAAGGTTTGGATTCCATTCCACATTCTCTGGGCCAAAAGATAGTTGGTGTAATCCTGACAGCATCAGTACAGGTCACGTTACATAAACAGCTGGCTATCTAGATTTTTCCATAACTTTTTTGTATTGTTTTAAGAGGATGTGTTAATTCCTGAAGCTGTTTCTCAATGTCTCACTGCCACTAAGCCACAAGCCAGGGCATTAGCTTTTAAGAACATGAGTGTTCTGTATTTCTTTTTACATTATATCTGTATCAGCATTTACAAAGCAATGCCTAAGTCATTGGAATAGCTGAAAAAAAATTATAGTAATCTAACCCTGTGGTCCTTGGGCTTCTCCTCTGTCTGGGAGGAGCTCTGCCAGCAGCTGCAGATCCAAGTAATCTTGTGAATCATATAATAAGTGAGATTTGAGGGAGGTATCTGTGTCCAAAAGAGGGATGGTCTTATATGCATCAGACTGGGAAAAAAATCTCAAAGATAGCATGAACTGAGGCATTTATTTTCATAATTTCAAGTGTAAGCTAAGTATAAATTATGTCATTTATGAATATGCAATCTTAATTAAGTTTGTTAAGTGTCAAATGTTGTATTTTTAAATCTAGCAAATTATGGAACCCTTTCATATGTTTACAACTGCACCCTGCTGGATCAGGTTGGTTCCCACTAGAAAATTAGTCGCTGCAGTTTTTGACAATCTGAATGATCTAACTTCTGTTAGATGAGTCGATACAAACTAAATACTATTGCCCACAGCCCACAAGGTGATGTATTCTAAAAAAGGCACTTATTTTAATTCTAAGTTCTGCTTTTTAGAATAGAGGCACATGCCAAATGAGAAGTTCCCACAGTCTCACCATCGAATTCAGGGAGAGGGGACAATGCCTGGCTGTAACAGTGCCCAGGAAAGAGCTGTTCTGAAACTGAACCAGAAAAGCAGATAAAATACATATTTTGCTGTACGTACAGCAAGTTGTCCTACAGATTCATGAATATAAACATAGCACATGCTTACTTGCCTTTCTGAATGGAAACTTCAATGATTTCCCTTCCTGGAGCTAGCATCATTGGCTTTCATAGTACTTAAAAAAGGTGATAAAATGCGTTCCTTGGGTTTGCCCTTGTTAACCTCCTCTGCCCAGATTTTCTGCCTCAAAACTGTTTGAGTCCCAGCAGCAAGGAGGGAATACTATAGCAAAGACCTCCCGACATGACAGGAATTCCTGCAGCAGGGAGAGCCCCTCTGAGCACAGCTGGCTGGGAAGGGTCAGCCTTCAGTCTGCATTCAGCTGAGATCTTTGCATGGAACTTTCTCATTTCAGATTACCTGTGTGGTAACTCATCAAACATTGCATCAGCAAGATTTCATTCAGATTTTGGGGTAAACATATAAGGATTCAGAAGAGTGTCATTTTCTTCAGCATACCAAATGTTTTATCAAGCCAGAACAGAGGAATAATTTCCAATCTTAAGTTTTGTAACTGGTAGCCAGAGAAGCCACTACCTTGCAAATTATTTATTACTCTGTGGCTCCAAAAATAACAAACTCTCCCAAGAATCCAGAACAAGAAAGTAGAAACTTCTACACTCATGGCTAGTCTCATTATCAGGCTTATGCACATGACAACTTTGTTTCATATAAATGGTATGTATAATTTTATTAGAAAGAAATATTATTTTGATGCTAAGACATCAAATTATAAGCAGAAGGATAATAAAGAATCTGTTATTTTATTAATATTAGAAATATATTTAAAGGGAGCATTTGTAAGAGTGTTTAGTGAAAAGAAAATTCTGATTAATAGATTTAACAAAATAATGAATCTTGAACAATTTTGTTTTTTTTCAACACTGTGCAAAGTACATGAAGATTTGGTCTTTCTTGCAAAGCTGTAGTTCTGACACACAAGAATTCCTATATAGTCAGGCTAAATTAGGGGAAGGAGAGTTGTAAATAGAATTAGGGTCGTGCCTGGAGTCACTGTTAGCATCACAGCTTGCATAGCCTTCTGCCTAGAAGTATTTCAGAATCAATGTACCAAGTCCCAGAGTAGCAACAAAAGGTGGGGATGGGGTCCAATCCTCTGTTAATTTCACATTTTAAAAAATCAGTATGTTTGTTCCTTTTACACATTCCAATAACTATAGTGTTCACTTTATTTGTATATAAAATACTAAAATGTGTATAAGATGACTGTGATTTTATGACGTATTCATAATAACAAAGATATTTTTTCTTACACTGTTGGTACCTGCTTTTATTACACATTGTCCTTTCTCTGAAACATGGTGATGTTGGCTGGAAGAAACAGGTGGCAGGAAATCTCCTTATGCTGCCTTCTAGCACTTTGCTTGGACCTGAACAATACTGTCATAGTTCTTTGACTCTGGGACATGAGCTCTTGCAAGCTGGGGTGGGTTTCAGTCTTTGTGGTAATAAAGCACACAGCCACCTCTGCTCTGTGGCAGGATGTGGCTCCTAGGCCACATCAGGGCTACACGAGGCTGGATCCAGCAGCCCCACCCCACGCTGCCCTGCGTGCGCAGCTTCTGCACAGCCCGGGGACGCGGTACGGGGATACGGAGCTCTCCGGCATTCCGCCGCCAGTAGTGGGGAAAAGGGGGAACAACACATACTCTCCATCAGGCCTTGCCTGCCCCTCGCAGGCATCCTGTCGAGCCCAGCCCCGCAGCCCCGGGAACATCCTGCGGGCTGTGTCCGACAGCTGAGGTCGCGAGGAGCCCATCTTACCCCTTCGTCCCTGCAGAGCCCACGCTGCCTGCGCAATGCCTCAAGGGCAGATGCAGGGCTGGCACCACATCGGACGGGCTGTCATCCCTGGCAGGATCCCACTCCACCGCAGGGATCCAAGATCCCCGATATGCGGGTAAATGTGTATACAGAATAAAATGAAAAGTATCTATGAGTCATAGTAAAACACGGGAGTAACAAAAAAAAAACCAAAAAAAAACAAAAACAAAAAAAAAACCCACAAAAAAATTCGTAGTCACAGTTACCACTGCCTTCGGTTTCAGAAAGTACATAGTGGAAGCAAAGTGTTAAAGAAAGTGTTAAAGACAAAAATCTATGATTAGCAGAAAAGCTAGACAAAGGAGTTCCCGGTTGTACCGGGGATCCCGCTAGTAGTGCTGTTCTGTGACTGTATGAGGATAACAGAACAGAACTGTCAAAAATTCATGGAAAGCAGGATCTCAGTTACTTGATGTGTGCATCTGGGGAAAGCAAGATAGTAGTCGTATGGCATGATGCAGACCTTTTAACCAGTTAAAGAGCACTGTATTGAAGTCAGACATTTTAAAATCTGCTTGTTTAATTAACTTACATCCGATAGTTTTAAAAAGAACTAAGAGAGGACCGCCGGGACTCTGGATCGCCGCGGCGCGGGTCCTTCGGGTCCGCAAGCATCCCCCTGCTCCGCCGGGTCTGCCCCGGCTCCCTGTCCCGGTACGCGGCTGCGGGCTGAACTCCGTGAGGAAGAGCAGTGCCAGCAGGGCGAGGGAGGTGATCATGTCCCTCTACTCAGCATGGAGCATTGTGTCCAGTTCTGGGCTCCTGAGCGCAGACCTGGAGCGCGAGAGACGTGGAGCTCCTGGAGCAGGTCCAGTGAAGGGTGGCAAAAGTAATTAAGGGGCTGGAGTGTCTCATATGAGAAAAGGCTGCGCTAGGTGGTCGTGTTCGGCCTCCCGAGGAGGCTGAGGGGGGACCTCATCAATGTCTGTCCGCGTCTGCAGGGAGGCGTCAGGGGATGGACCAGGCTCTGCTCAGTGGTGCCGAGCAGTAGGACATGCGACAACGGGCCGAAAGTGGTGCATAGGAAGTTCCACTTGCGCAAGAGGAACCACATCGTGAGTTGTTCGGGTGACTGAGCCCTGGAATAGATTTCCCGGAGAGGCTCCGGAGTCTCCCTTATCCAAGATACGCAAGAATATGAACGCATTGCTCTGTCGTGTGCTTCAGGGCGATCCTGTTCCGTCAGGAAGGCGGGACCAGGTTTCCAGCCCGACCCGTTCCGGCACCGCGGGACTGTGGCTGTGACTACAGCTCCCGGCGCGCTGCGCGGCGCCCGGGCGCTGCCGGGAGGCGGCGGCGGCGGCCGGGCCGTCGGTCGATCGGCGGGATGCGGCTGTCGGTGGCGGCCGCCATCTCGCACGGCCGCGTGTATCGGCGGCTCGGGCTCAGCCCGCGGTCGCGCCTGGACCTGCTGCGGAACCTGGTGACAGCGCTGGTGCGCTATGAGCGCATCGAGACGCCCTGGGCGCGGGCCGACGAGATGCGCGGCTACGCCGAGCGGGTGAGCGGCGGCACCGGAGCGGGCCGGGGGGCGGCGGGAGGCACCCTGACCCACCGCCTCTCCTCACCCGCCGCCTCCTTCCTCCCCGCAGCTCATCGACTACGCCAAGCGGGGGGACAGGGACGAGCGCGCTATGCGCATGGCGGATTTCTGGCTGACCGTAAGTACCCCCAGCCCCACATCCGTCCCGGCCCGCCGCGGAGCCGGGGCTGAGCGTGCCGCCCCCTGAGCAGGAGAAGGACCTCATCCACAAGCTGTTCAAGGTGCTGGCGCCCCGCTTCCAGACGCACCCCGGCAGCTACACGCGGCTGCTGCAGATCCCCAACCGGGACGGGCTGGACCGCGCTAAGATGGCGGTGATCGAGCTGAAGGGGAACCCGCTCCCGCCGCTCGTCCGCCCGCGCCGCGACTCCGACAAGACGCTGCTGAACCAGCTGCTCAAGGGGTACCGGCAGGACGCGCGGCCCCGGGGCACCCCCGTCTAGCGGACACCCCGTGCCCTGGAGAAGGGAAGGTGTGGCAGGAGGGCTGGAGGGTGATGGAAGTTGCCATGGCCAGGCCTGAGTTTACTGGCTGCTTCCAGTGCTTTGAATAGAGACTCGGCAGAAGGAAATCAGGCTAGGAGCCGTGATAATTGATATTTTCTGTGTAAATAAACTTTGTTCAGAAAGTCAGTTTGCTTGTATTTGAGTTGTGTTCAGAGAATTATTTAGGTCAGAAATGACCTTTAAAGTTATCAAGTCCAGCCTATGATCAAACACCACTGTGTCAACCAGACTATGGCGCTAAGTGCCGTATCCAGTCTTAATTTTAACATCTCCACATCCCGGGCAGCTCATTTGTGTTTATTCACCCTTTCTGCGAAGAAATTCTTCTTCATGTCCTATTTAAACCTCGCCGATCAGCATAATTCCTGTGTTTGTAAGTTAGTGCTTATTCCAGAAAACTGGATTTGCTAACTGTGTTCTAGGAGCCACTGTTCAGCATTTCAGGGCAGGAAGTTTGGTGAGGAAGAAGATACTTAAGCTGTTTAAAAAGCAGAGTGTAAACAGGATAGTAACACTGAGCTAAGTATTGTAAAGAGACAACAAAAGAATCGTGTCTTAAAAGGTGCTAACAGGCATGAGTCATAGTAATCTAGCAAGATCTTGACGGACCACAGATTCAGAGGCAGGAGTGCTAGACATCTCTATTATTCTACTGGAACAAAAATGGGAAGTAGCAGAACTTTTTCAGAGTGGTGTAACTACTGAGCAGTAAGAATCTTGATTTGCTAGCTTTGTCTTTAATTTTAGGCACAGCTCGGACTTGAAAGTCCTAGCTGTAACTTTGAAAAAAAAAAACCCAGAACAAAACCAACCCAAATATAAAATCACAGGATAGACTACCTAGTTGGAAAGGACTTCAAGAACACTTGGCCCAACTCTTCGTGGCAATACACACTGGAACTAGTGTGGCTTCCTAAACTTTGTTGCATTTCTTCCTCCCAGGTTTCACAAACTTAAGAGATTTAAACAAGTGGCCCTGTGTAGCAAGCTAATTGTATGGAAAGACAAAGAACCCCCATGATATATTCTCTCTTCAAGACACTTATCTCACATAGTATTAGTTCTGTTTTAATAAACACCAGTGAGAAATTAAAGATGGGTGGTACTGCTTAAGGAAGAAGAAAAAACAGCTGAACTGCTACAAGGTCAGTGTTCACACAGACTTTAATCTTTATGTTTCTAGTAATCTTGAAATTATCCTCTTTGCAGTTGGCCGTATTCAAATAGATATTTTCTGAACCAAACTGCTGCACAAATTCTACATTAAAAGTCCAGTGTTGAGGCTTTAACAAAATACAAAAATACCTCTAAAAAAACATTTAATGAGGGAAAACAAGTCACACTCCCATCTGCTTGACCTTAAGTTATCTTGAGTTTACTAAAGTGCAAAAAAAGCTAGAAGATTATTAGCTAAACTGGGGGAAATCCTTGATACAAAAGGGTTTTTTGTGTACAAATGCATATTTTGCAGTATCTGTACGAACATTAGGGCAGCTAACAAAGCATTCATCATCTCACACAGTGTGTAGTCCTTCTCAGTTCAGAGCTACTATATGTCCCTGAACATTTTATAAGATTGTGGAAGCTTCTGCCATGAGGGTGGTTGTCCTGCCACTCTGGCTTGTACTGGAGTGGTTCAGGCTTTCAGCTGCCTGTAAAGGAAAACAAAGGGGAAAGTTACAGTTAATATGGGAAATCTGTCCTCATTATTCCCTTGTGTCCTGGCTGCCACGATCAGGCTGCTTCCATCGCCCTTATAACCACACACAGGTCCAATGATCAGTTCTTACGTCCTGTTCTCTTCCACCTCTGGAACCTAGATGCCTACCTGACGGCAGCTGTGAGACTCCGGTACCAGTCATTGATCTCTTGTTGGTTGCAGGACATCAACAGCAGTGTCTTGTGTGGGAAGGAAAGCTGAAAGACAAACAGAATCTATGGCATTCCTTGCCAAGGCAGTAACTGCAGTAAAAGGAAAATCATCACCACTGAATTCAGTCCCTGCATGCTAATTTTTACCCTTCCCACACAGAAAAATTTAGTCTTGATACTTAGTGAAGCCAGAGACTGTACAGTCTAGAACAAGTGCCAGTCTTGTCCATGGTTTCCAGTCAAAGCTGACAGCTCGTTCTGACCTTTTTGGAGGTGAGCAATTAGGATTCTCAGCAGCTCATCCAGTTTTCTACCATATTCATGTCCCATGGGGTTCTTCCACTACCATCATCTACAGGTCACACCTTGCTCAAAGAGTTCTTTGTCATAGCTCACAAGAAAAGAGCTAACACAGCCACAAGTGAAGCCTTGGAAGACCTGACCTTGAAACCCCTACAGAAGACTCTGGTCCCTGTCAAGGAATCTGCAGCCCTCAGGAAGGTAGATGCACATCTCTTGCAATTACATCCACATCTTTTTCGTTCTCTGTTTTTCTATGTGTAATGAGTGTAATTCATTGTCATGTAAGTGTGGGACTGCCCCCCAAACCTGTGGCTCTGATAAGAACATGTCAGAGTCCTAGTGGAGCCTCCTTACCTGAGCTAAGTGAAGCAACCAGCAGCCTGTAGCCCCCGGGTGTGCAGGAGGCTCCACACCGTGAAAGGAAAAGTACCTGCATCACTCAAGAAAGGAAGGGTTGTCCTTACTCAGACTTGCTCACTGTATTTTTTCACTGCTGTCATCATCTCGATCCCTCTGCTGCTGAGACAGCTGGAGACCTGCTTACAGGCCTGACTCCACTGACACTTCTGCCTGGCACAGGTGGGAAGACTTACACTGAGGAGCCCTCCCTGGCTCCATGTGTGGCCGAACACTTTATCCACCGAGCACTGGTGGAGCGGGTAGACAGCCTGGCAGGACAGTTTGTTGGAGTTCAGCAGGTGCAGCGGGTGGCAGGGCTTCGCTGCAATGAGGATATCAGAGAACAGGAAAAACATCCTGCGCTTCAGTTCTTCTCCCTTTGCAGGCACCACCGAAAGCCAGCCTTCCCGGATATACCAGCGCCCTGGGCATGCCGGGGAAACAGAGACAGCTGTGAGATCTGAGGGAGGGTGGGCAGGAATGAAGAGTAAAGGATGTAATGAGATAAAACAGGAATACTGGGTGAGCCACCCTTGTAGGTTGCCGTGTTCTACATCAATTCCAGCCACTAGAAGGCACTGGATGTCAGCTGGGTCCGGCCCACCCGCACGGAGAGCACCCGTGCAGAAGCAGTAACCAGCCCAAAACATTCGGTATATCAGGAGCAGCTGAAGTTATTATAAATCTGCTATTTTAATTAAGCATATATTATCATGTGCAAGTTTGTTTAAAGTGATCAGAACAAAACCACCGTTTGAGAATGTTATGCATACCTTTAAATTAACATAAGCCTTGATAAAACACATGAACTATCTCAAATTGTGTTGTCCAGTTGTTTGTCATTAGTGGTATAATAGAAACTAGCTTCAGCTTTGAACACTTATAATTTTTCCTTGTTTTGTTTGTGTGTGCTAATTTAAAAAATAAGCTAAAAAAACCTCCCAAAAATAAAACAAAACCATATTTCACAGGCCATCTAACTACAGTAGCCAAGAGAATGCAGACTGCAGATTACAAAAAGATAAAGGAGATAAAAAATGAGGAAGGTCTGAATAGGTAACCCTATCAACCTCTCTTGAAGAAGAATCCAGTGTCATCCACCTGTGAAATTAATTGTGATAAAACAAGAGCAAAAGAAAGCAGGAGGGAAATAATCAAAACAATTTGATAAGCCTAGCTGTGAGCAGCAATGTAAAAAAAAAAAAAAAAAAGAAATAAATAAAGCAGGACTTCTTACTAAGATTATTGTGGAAGTTAGCCATCAACTCATGGGAATTATGAGGACACCTGCCAGTAAGGTTATCTATAAAAATGTAAAGCCATAACAATGTATTGCCACATGATCTTGTTTAGGAAACATCTGTCAGGGAATTTCATGCCTTAGCTTCTGCATGAGCTATAAATACTTTTTAGAATAAAAACACAGTGTTGTTTTCATTGTGGATTGTGTCTTATTAGAATGCTATAGTCACCAAACAAAGTGAGTGAATTCCTGCTTTGCTTATTCCACTGGAACCACTCCTCTTCCCTGAATAAGAAACTGAGGAAGAGAAGGTGAGATGCAGGAATCAATCCAGGTTTGAAAAAACAAATGGGAAGAAGGTGTCAGAAGCATGGGGCTGGGCTGGGATCTGTTTCCCTCAGGCCGTGCTGTGATCAGACTCACGGGCATACAATCTGACCCAGACTGGACTGGAAGTTTTGCAATATAGATCCATGTCCAGGATTCCCAGGTGTACAAGTTCTAGGAAATTGTTGTGAAAGAAGGGCAAGAAAAATATCCCAGGGGAAGCTCTGGGTAACAGAACAGTGTTCAGTTAAGGAGGAAGTTCTGGCTGATGCTGTATTTGTCCTGAATATGGAAGGCAGCAAGAAAAGCAGGGTTTGCTCACTGGGAACAGGACATCTGAGAGACAATGGCAAATGTGAGAGACCCATCTCCAACACCCCTGCTTTGTTCTGAATCTACAGCATTTTGTTTTCTCTCCTGTTCCTTCCCGGCAACAGGACACAATCTTAACTGTCCTGCAAAAGCTATCTTGTTTATGGAAAGCTGGCTCAAAGCTAGCAAGCCCCAGTTGCCTCTTACATTTGTGCTTCTCATATCCAATGATAACTATGTAACTGCAGCCAGTGGAAAAACATCTCTACAAGAATTCTCTGCCTTAGATGATGGAAATCCCTTTAGTGACCCTCAACACTCATACTACTGTGTCTCAGAATTTTCAGAGACCAAAATAATTGGTGGACCAAACACTTCGAAACAATAGCCATCTCTGGTCTAGTTATACTGTTTTGGGGTGTTAGTTTCTTTTCGTGGTGTTATCCTATTAGTTCTAACATTAATCAGGATAACTGATTGACCTTTTTACTTACACACTAACCAAATGTGCCCAGGCACCCCTGCAACATGCTTCTGCTCAGTGTAAGCAGAGTATTCCTGTGTTAGCTCCCTTTCACCTGGCAGCACCAAAAGGATTCTAAGAACAGGAAAGAGAATTGTAAATTGATTTGCCCATTGACAAATTCCCTTTGAAAATAGTCTCTGATAAGTAACCTTTGTTCTACCTATGCTGGTTTGGCTAGGATAGAGGTATTTTTTCCCATAGTGGCTGTTTTGGTTTTGCACTGAAAACACCATTGACAACACAGGGATCTTTTGTTCATTTCTGTGTAGGCACTGCTCAGTATCAAGATCTTTTCTGCTCCTCAAGCCACAAGTGAGGAGGTTGGGAGTGCACATGAACATGGGAATGCTCACAGCTGGAACAGCTGATCTGAAATCCCCAAAGGGACATTCTATATCATAAGGCATCATGTTCAGTCAGTTATGCTGGGGAAAGAAGAAGGAAAGGGGGGAGTTTTAAAGTGCTGGTTCTTGTCTTTCCAGGTAACCACAATGTGTGGTAGAGCCCTGGTTAGAGCCCTTCCTTGGAATAGCTGAACACCTGCCTGCCCATGGCAGGTGGTGGATGAACTCCTTGTATGGCTTTACTTACATAAACAGGTTATGCTGTACTTGTTAAACTGTCTTTATCTCAGTCTGATGCTGTTGAGCCAGGGACAGGTGAAATTACTCGCACAATTTCAGAAGGCAAACTTTTTCTCTCTGACTGAACTGAGAATATCCACACAAGCTTTATCAGTTTTACCCTTCTGAGTTTTTCCCCATTCCAGTGGGGAAAGATTTTTCATTCAAAAATTCACATGTGTTAATTGCCACCACATTCATGAGTACCTGCAGATTCTTGCATTAGAGACCTTCACACACAGTGTCTTGAACACTCCTCTCCAGCTGCAGCACTGTGCCTGGATAATCTCTGCAATAGCAGAGTTGAGTGCAGGCTACAGGTGAAACCCCAAATGACCATTTCATAATTGCCCAGACTGGGCACATTTCTCACAATATTTCCTACATAGCTCAAAGTGTGGTCTGGGCATGGAGAGCGCCCAGTCGTGTAAGAGACCTATCCATTGAAATGTTCCTACATGCCAATGACTGTGGCTTTATATCTCAACAATCAACACAAATACAGTGATTTCTGGCTCAATTTAACCATGCAGACAAAGAAAATTCTTTATATGAAGGGTGTGAGCAGAATGCCATTAATCTTGTAGCTTTAAAGTAAAAAACAACACAGTTCTTGTGCCCTTGATGCTCAGGCATCTATGGTTCCTGCAATGGAGTAGGGATAATGCCACTGCTTACACTCTTCCAAAAGAATATAATGTCTCTCTTTCATTCCCACCCAGGACTTACACTCCTGATCTTCTTGGGTTCCTAACTTTCTAACCACATGTCATCAGCTTCTCCTATCTGAATGTCAGGCAATTAAGCTGTAACTTATCCTTACTCAAAAATTCTTAATTAAAAAAAAAAAAAAAAAAAAGAGTGCTTGCATTAGTAGTCACACTCCTTTACCACCTAACTGTGAAATTTGGGCAGAAGGGGAAAACTTGTTAATGTGAGTTGAGTCAGAGATGAAGGAGAGCATATGTACAGGTATCTCAGCATGGCAGAAGAAAAAGAGAGTTGTCAGTAAGACCCACCTGAAGTCAAAACCTGTGTCTTTTGTCCTTTGAGCAATTTCTGAACCCGAAGTAGCTGCAAGGAGTTCTCTCTCTTATCAAAGATGTCTTGGACCCAGTGAGATACCTCACAAACAGATTTCACAGTCTCTGAAATTATAGCAGCATACTCTGAAGTTATCACAAATGAATGCGTATTTCACCTTATACATCTTGCTAAGAAAAGACAGTATGAAATTAAGAAGAAAAGTTTTAAACCAAGTATCAACAACAGCTTTATTCAGAAATTTCTGTGAGAGATTGGACTAGATCACCTCCAGAGGCCTCTTTCCAACTAACAAGTCTACAGTTCTAGAAAACATTTGCCAATGAAACATCAGAGAGAGGAATAATTTCCTGCATTTGGAAGCAAAACCAGAAAAATGCCCTATAAGTGGTGTTAACTTCTTGTAAAAACCACAGAATCATTTAGACTGGAAAAGACTAGTGAGATCACTGAGTTAACCTAGGATTGAACACCACCTTGTCAAGTAGACCATGGCACTGACTGTCATTTCTTGAACATTTGCAGGGATGGTGACTCTACCACTTCCCTGGGCAGTCCATTCCAGGGTTTAACAACATTTTCTATTAAGAAACGCCTCCCAGTGTCCATTCTGAACTTCCCCTAGCACAGCTCAAGGTCATTTCCATAATCCCGTTACTTGTTACCTGGGAGAAGAGGCCAATCCCCAGCTGGCCACAACCTCCTTTCAGGTACTTGTAGAGAGTGATCAGGTCACCCCTTTTCTCCAGACTAAACACCCCCACCTCACTCAGCCACATTTCACAATTCTTGTGCTTCAGACCCTTCTCCAGCTCCACTGCCCTTCTCTGGACTTGCTCCAACACCTCAGTGTCTCTCCTGAAAGGCTCAAAATTGGACATGGGATTTGAGGTGGAGCCTCACTCATGCTGAGCACAGGGGAACAATCACTTCCCTGTGGTCCTGCTGGCCACATTATTACTGATCCAATCAGGATGTCCTTGGCCTTCTTGGCCACCTGGGCACACACTGGCCCATGTTCAGCTGCTGTGGGTCAGCATCCCCAGAGCCTTTTCCTCCCTGCAACTTTCCAGCCACGCTGTCCCAGCCTGTGGCACTGCCTGGGGTTGTTGTGACCCAGGGACAGGAGTCCACACTTGGCCTTGTTGAACCTCACACAATTGGCCCTGGCCTGTGGTTCCAGCCTGTGCAGATCCCTCTGCAGAGCCTTCCTGCCCTCCAGCAGATCAGCATTCATACCCAGCTTGGTGCCATCTGCAAACTGGCTGAGGGTGCTCTCAATTACCTTATCCAAATCATTAATAAAGATATTAAATGGCACTACCCTGATACGAGAGCCTGAACATCTCTAGTGACTGGATATAGCATGAAGGACATGAATTAACTTTAAAAATTGAGGCATGTGACCAAGAGAGTCAGAGAATGGTTTGGGTTGGAGGGAACCTTATAGATCATCTCGTTCTAACCCACCTGCCATGGGCAGGGACATCTTCAAATACATCACATTGCTCAGAACCACATCCAGCCTAGCCTTGAACTCTATCAGTAATGGGGCATCAACAAATTCCTTGAGCTACCAGTGTTCCAGTGCCTCATAATCAGCAGAGTTTAAAAAAAATCAGAGCTGCCATTTCTCCAATCTAAATATTAGGCCATTTTCCCAGGCAGTTACTCTGTATTTTTATTCCTAACGTGTTCTCAGGGACACTCCAGAGAGAGAGGAAGATTTTTTCCTTTGGAACCAGGCAGTAGGTGGGAGTCAAAATATTCTTAGCAAGGAGTGTATCATTGACCTAAGTGCCAGCATTTACTTGCAAGTTTCTGGTACTCAGCAGTGTCTGGGCTGGTGTTCTCCAGCAGGTCTCTGAAGAAATGCTTGTACCTGAGGTGGAGAGAGCAGGTTTAATTCACAACAGCAGCAGCACCTCCTGTTAGTAACAGCACGCACTCAGCCAGAAGAGAGAGTAAGCCTAACCAAGCAGTTTTGGTCCCACTTCATTCATCCATTTTATCATCAAATGTCTCAACTAAAATAACTCAAGTATTTTGTACATCTGCAAACCTTTGGCTTTTCCCGGGTATCCAATAGAAGCAGACTCACAAATCACTTAAGATCATGAGGCTGTCTCAGAATTCACGTGTTCTGTTATTGCCTTCAACAAGCAACAAATTTCTCTTTGAACTATCTATTTTATTAGTGTATGAATGGTGGTATTCATACCATGTTTCCTGCCCACACAAGAAAATACAGGCACTTCTATAAGAATTAGGACCTGCCTTTTTCTTCTTTCCTTTCCAGTCTTTACTGGAGAGGATAAGATCTCTGCAAATGCTTTCTCTAGTAATGTCAAACAGAAGGAACTTAACAGATTCACAAACTGGCAGAACTCATATGAGCTAGTGGATACATTAACAAAGTTTTAAAGAAATTTGAACATGATAGAACTGATTAATGAAAAAATTAGACTTTCTATCAAAAAGCTCACATTTTTCCAGATAGTTGGACTGCAACAAATATACTGCTGTTTTGCAAATTTAAAAGAATTTTCCAAAGAATTACAGTAAAAACCCACCAATCAGCTTAATGTTTACTTCTGCCAAACTGATTAAAAACATTACATAAAGTTCCATGAAAGACTGTGGTATGATCTCTCCAAGTTATTTTCAAAGAAAAGAGGTGCTCAATCTCTCAAATTTGCTTTAGTGTAGATAAGACCATGGTTGAAAAAAGGCTACTGCATCTATAGTAGCAGACTCTAGGTTCCCAGAAAACCACCTTTATTACCCATACACCCTCTCCAAAAAAGGGCTGCCCATGAGTGCATGCAGCACTCTCCTCAGGCAGTCAGTTTGCCTCTTCAAAGGGGAGATGATCATGGAATATCCTGAGCTGGAAGGCATCCACAAGGACCATCAAGTCCAATTCATGCCTCTGCATTTTAAGACAACCCTAAAAATCCCGTGTCCAATGATGCTGTCTAAACATTTCTTGAAGTCTGGAAGGCTTGGTGCCTCAAGAGGGAGATGCAGTGATCCTGAGTGGATCTGTCCAGGCTCAGACAAATGTGATAGGCATCAAATCTGAGGAAAGCATACAGCCTTGATAACCAGAAAGTAAAGAAAAGCTCTCCTTCATTAATCTAATTTCTCTCCAAAAAGAGCCATCTACAATAGTCACAATGCTCTAGGTCAGCAATCTACATAAGAATGGAGCAAAAGCATCACTGGCAGTAACCACCACTTCTGCAGCATGTCAGTCAGCTTGTTTTCATTCAGAACCAAACTTATGTAGCTTACTGAGACAGCAGAAAGCCTCCAATTCTACCCAAGAGCTAGAGGAAGGAGCCAGGGCTAAACCCAACTGCCTTCCTGAGTCATCTCCCATCCGTGTACACTGCTTCCACTTTACAAGGCACATTCTTAGGTCTGTTTCATTGCTGTCTCTGTGCTGATTTTGAGACACAATAAGCAACTCTCCCTTTCATAGCAACAAAGATAGTAATACATTCCTTTTTCCCTTCATATGCTACTCCGTTGAAGACAATTTCTTACTTACTGGTGCAGCCTCTGCAGGGGCAAAGGAAGCAGGTCCTCTAGTTCCTTCCCTTGAAACTGAGGTCGAGTCTCCTGGAGTTTCTTAAACCGCCGGAATGACTTATTTTTCCTCACTTGCTCCTGTGTGCAGCAAAAAAGGGATTTAGTCTTTCTGTAGTCTCAAAGCTATGTGCCCTAGCCTGTACCAGAGCTTAGAACACTTCAATTTAGAGTTTAGGACTCCAGTCCCACAAACATCAACTTCTTTTGTGGCTTTGGGTAAGCCATTCCCTTTCTCCTGATCATTCATTTCAGTGGGTAATGGAAGTGATATCTCCCCGCCATACTTGAAATTAATGAAAAAGTGAAGGTTGACTCAGTTAGGAAAAAAGGAGTGCACTTGTGGTTTTTTGCCATTTCTTTCAAGAAAAAGCAATGCAGATCTGCATTCTCATCACCTTAAGACAAGTATCCAAAATGGCTTTTTCTCTTGGAAAACCAAAAGCATAAATACATGCACACAAATTCAAGAGGAGGGAAACATCCAAGTACATTCTGCATCTGAGAACAAACACTGACAAAACTGGGAGCTGAGTGGTTTAAATTTCAGATACAGCTGTCAGGACTTCGGAATAAATATATGTTCTGCAGAAATTTCTTGAAAAAGTGTTGGATTTGAAGACATAAGTGGGAAGGAAAAAATGGTCTTCAACAAAGGAAAAAAACTGCTAAGGAAAAGGAAATCCCACTACTAGGATACTGTTGGTGGTAGTGGGAAAGACAGGAGACCTGACAATTCCTAGAAAGAGATCACTGTATCATAGTGAAAGCCTGGAAACTCTCTAGACTTGCCAGTTAGGAAGGAGTGGGAGTAAATACAGAACACTGTTTGAGAAAGCAATGCTCACCATATGCACATACATACACAAACACCTGAAAAGGCATCAGAAATTTGAAGCTCTAAATAACAAGAAGTTCTCACCACTTTATTGTGGAAGAAAACCTGAATTTCATCAGGCCAGAAGAAGTAAGAATACTGATCTCTCCAGAAACAGGAGACAAATGGAAAGATGTGGCAGTTTCACAGAATGGAAAAAGAGAAACCATACGAAGACTAAAGTACATATTTACCTTTAATGTTTTGTTTGCCTGCTCCAAATTCTCAGCATAGTGGCCATAAAGATCCAGACTCTGACAAAAAATTTCCAGTCCTGGCCCCAGATTCCCTTTCTCCAGGTGAAGTGACAGAAGACTGTGCACAAGGAGCAGAGATAGCTTGTGAAGGATATGTTACTGATGGCATTTTTACAGATCCATCTGATTCCTTCATTTGCTGGCCCGCCTTTACCATTCTCCACCTCATATCCAGTTTCTATACCAAATTTGTGCTTGGAGGTCAGAGAGTAAGCCACAGAACACCCCATGGAACAGACTTACTGAGCTTAAACCCCTGTCCAGTAACTGGGTACCCAGATAATTGATACAGATCAGGAGTTTCCTGGGGACACCTCCAAATGCCACCAAGGCTAGTGGTGCTAGAAGTGAATGCCTTTTTTACAAGGTGTTAGCCTTATTTCCCCAAATCTTACTTTCTCATCAACATAGAGTCCTCCCAATATAATTACAGAAATTGCATCCTGTGTCCACTTACTGGCTGGCTGAATACAAGGACTCCAGGGGTCCAAATATAGTTTCCAACACAGCAGGTTTCAGCGTCCCTTTGGCCTTTAAAATTGTCACAAAGTACTAAGCAGGAAAAAAAAAAATATTCAAACAGGTAGCATTCACAAATCATCACAGAATCACTCAATGGTTTGGATTGAAAAGGATCTTAAAGACCAACTAGTTCAATCCTGGACAGAGACACCTTCCAAGCCCCATCCAACCTGGCCAGTCACTTCCAGGGATGGGGTATCCACAGCTTCTCTGGGCCACTTGTGCCAGTGCCTCACTGCCCTCACAGTAAAAAACTTCTCCCTAACATCTAATCTAAACCTACTGTCTTCCAGTTTAAAACCATTCCTCCTTGTCCTATCACTATGTACCTGTAAAAAGTTACTCTCTCTCTTTTTTATAAGCCCCCTTCAAGTACTGGAAGGCTGCAAAGGTTATTAACCTCTGAGGTCACTCAAAGGCCACTTGTGGCACACAGCAGAAGCCAGAAGTCGCAGCCTGACCCCTTTGGCTTGGAAAGATATCAAATACTGTGACTGTCTACCTAAGATATCCACCATCAGATGTAAGCCTTACTTGTAGCTCTAACCATAACTGCAAACACATGGAACAGTACTACAGCACTGAGAAGAGTCTGTTTCAGTATCCTCCAATGCATCTGTTTTTCACCATCTTGTTCATAAACTTTTTCTTGTCTGTGTTCCTACAGTTCATACATCTCAGGTATCTCAGGGCGAGCACCCTATTCAATCAAAACTTAAAAGATTTATGTCTGTGTACAGACCAAGGCAAAAAAGCCAAACGTGTGAGCTATTGAATATTACAGAGGAGGTAAAAGAAAAATAACAAAAAACTCCTTCAGCCACAGCAGGTGTCCCAGACAACAGGGATGTACCACAGTCTTGCTCTTGACCCTTCCCCATGGCAACACAAAAAAGTATGTGCTGTCTGAAGACACTCATATATCAGAAGGGGCAGAAATACTCACCGTGAGCACCAAATCCAGCTGCTCAAGGTATTTGTGTTCTGTCTCCAGCAGTTCCTTGGCTGTCCTGCTGCGCTTTCTCTCCCAGCGAGCCCGCTGGTCTTCCACACTGTTTGCTCCAACCACAAATGGCAGGGATGAGGCACTCATTGCAGAGTCAGGGTTGATATACAGGGAGGTAAAGGATCCTGGAGAGCCAAGCAAGATGGACACACATCAAAAGAATAACCTGCATTGCAAAGTAGGATTCTGAGCTAAAAACTCAACACTTTCCTAGGAAATAAGGGCGGTCAGTTGCCAGCAACCATTATTAACAGTTTCCTTCTGCATTCCCTTCTGTGGGCACAGGGGCCCTGCATTCAAACAGAGAAACACCATTAGAGAGACCAGGCTGTAAAAGCAATAGTGGTACATGATGATTCATCTGTAAGCAAATTTCAGTGCAAAATCCCACATGCAAACCACTGCTTCCTGTGCTTTGTCCTCCCCATTCTTTGTGTGAAATTCTTGCTAAACTCTAGCAAGTTTGTGGGTGGAAGAGGTACTGTGGATAGGAGTAGAAAATAACTAGATTTGTCTTTCATAGTAGCAGCAGCTTCTCCAGAGCTTGCCCTCATATTCATTTACAGCACAACCACAAGCCTAGCCAAGACCACTTCTTAGTCAGACCTGGCGTGGATGGAGAGGCAGCACTGCAGGGAACACCAGCTTAAGCTTATCATTAGTCCAGAAGTGTTCAAGGCCAGGCTGGATGGGGCCCTGAACCACCCTGTCTGTGGGAGGTGTCCTTGGGCTTTGCAGGGCTGTTGGAAGGAGTTGGTGTTTAAGGGCCCTTCCAACCCAAACCATTCCACGATTATATTCAAGTGCAGTTGCAAAGTACTCACCAGTAATGGACTAAAACACTGCCATTCGCAGAGCACTTCTAGCCCAGGTAGATTGCAGTCAAGGCTTTCATTTTGCAGACTATTTTCTTTTTAACACATAATAATTAAAACAAACAAGTTATACCATGTTTGACCATCTACTGCTCACATAAAGAAGTTCTAACACTCCCATTATTGCACAATATTCTGTGTAAGTTCTGCAGGGTGAGAGCTGTCTGCAGCCTGTGGGTACACTAGAAAACACTTCACCTACAAGTGATAGAACTGCTCCAGCTTGCTTCTCCCCAGCTCACGTTCAAAGATCACTAAACACCCTCTATTACTTATAATGCACCATGAGCAACATCCCCTTCACCATTTCTAAATTTTGAGTACCCACAAAAAATCTCCTTATTGCACAGCCTCTCTTGGTGTCTCAGGAGCATAAACTCATGGTGGGTCAGCTCCAATGGCCACATGGCTGCACATCCCACACTTCGAGGTAAGAGAAAGGGGAAGGGAAAGGGAGAAATTCTGGAGCCCACAGCCTGTCCTCAGCCACCCTGAGGAGTAAAGAAGCAAATGTTGCAGGAGTTAATACCGGAAGTAAAACATGCACCTAGCCTTCCTTCAATTCACCTGTGCTGCAGGGTACTAAAAGTGCATTTTAGATCGGTCAAAACCAAGGGTATTATATTTTTTCAGTAGATAAGGTACGTTAAAAGTCTTGCAGGATTGAACAGAAAGCTTTTCTTGACCAAAACAGAAGCATTTTACTCATTATCAGGGTTCTGTTTTGTTGTTTTATTTTTTTTAATAAAATGAAATATGTTTTAAATAAATGTTTCCAATTTTAAAAACAATCAAAAATCACATGAGCACACTGCAAAACATTTACTAAACTTTAACCAAATGTTTTTCTCTGAATGTGACATGGATTCAGGAAATACTTGGTGGAATCGGGGACTAATTTAGCCAAAGGGATCTTTACGGGTCATGCAGTTGAGCCTCGTGCCCAAAGCGAGGCTACCACCAAAGTAAGGCTGGGCTGCTCAAGGGTTCATCCTGCCCAGGACCTTTCCACGGGTGGAGATCGGGGCCCCCCCGCCCCACGCCGCCCGTTACCTGCCGGTCTCGCCGCCGCCTCGCGTTCAAACGGGGCCCCGCCCCGGCGGGCGGTCCCGGGCGGGGCGGGGCGGGGCGGAGCGCGGCCGGGCGGGCCGAGCCGAGCCGGGCCGGGCCGGGCGAGGATGGTGCCGCTGGGGCAGCGTGGCCCGCAGCCCGGTGCGGCCGGGGACCTGGCGGCACTGGCCGAGCTGGACGAGGCGGCGCTGCTGGCTGGGCTGCGGGAGCGCTTCCTGCAGCAGCACATCTACGTGAGTGCCGGGGGCCGTGGCGGGGGGCGGCGGAGGGCGGTCGGCTGACTGGTTGTCCCGTCCCCACAGACCGACATCGGAGACATCCTCGTCGCCATGAACCCCTTCCAGCCGCTGCCGCTGTACGGGAGAGAGGTGAGCGCCGCGCCCCCCGCCGCGCCCCGCCGCCCCCGGCCGCTCACCCTTCTCCGCTGCCGCTTCCCCGCAGGTCTCCGAGCGGTACCGGCGCCTTCAGACCGACGCGCTGCCGCCCCACATTTTCGCCGTGGCCAGCCGCGCCTACCACGCCATGCTGGGCCGCGGGGGCGGCGGACCCCGCAACCAGTGCATCCTCATCAGGTGAGCGGCGGCCGGGGGCCCCGGGGCCGGCGGGGGCCGGGGGCGGTCCCCGAGCTCCCGCTGGCATCCCCCCGCCCAAGGTTCAGGTGAAGCTTTTCTCCCGTTCTGTCGGTGAGTCAAAATCCATTTGCGCTGGCAGCACATCCTTCATCCCAGCTGCTTTTGAGACAGATTAGCGGGCACGTCGTGAGAATATGTGGGCAGACAAAACTGGCTTTCCTGGAGCAGCTCAGCCAGCGATCTTTACAACACTAAAGATGCCAGGTTCACTTCTGGTGGGGAACCAGCCATTGGAATCCAGCTCTGGGAAAATCCATTGGGTGCTCTGCTCTGGCAATACAAATGCTATGGTAAAAGCTGTAGTAAAAGTTGGAAGGATGATAATGGAAGGAGCCAGTTTTCACAAAGTGGAGCTTCCCAAGTGTAACTGAAGAGCAGGAAGTATTAAACTATGCTTTTATGCTCTAAGACCTTTGGGAATCTGGTCGGGGAGTATCTTAAAGCTGTGGGCAGTTCTGTGCTCTAGAAGTCAGGGGAAAGTGGTTCTTTCAAAGACCCTACAAGTATCACAAACATTTTACTCCAGTTTTGTCACTCTTCTGCTGGAGCTCTGCAGTGCAGCAGGTAGCATCATTTAGTAGAGAAAGTGTTGAACAGCAAGGAGAAAGCCTTGAGACATTAACTGCCTCTTCTCTACAGCTGGGTGTCTTAGAGAACAGCTTAAATATCGTCTCAGTTAAAATGCTACTTGCTAACTTGTTTGCTTTAATACTCCTTTGTATTTGCCTGATAATTTTATCAGTACTTTTGATCTACATAGTGTGGAAGTCAACTGCTGAATCACTTCTGGGTGTTTTGGTGGGACTGGGAGCTGACTTTGAGGGGCACTCATTTCTGTGCCTTCAGGCGATTAGTGCCTGTGCTTATGTGAGGTGCCCTCAGGAAGTGGTGGCTGTGGGGTCAGCAGGTGCAAGAGGCGCTGCTGGTGGGGCTTTGAGGGATAGAGACAGCCATTATATTTGTCTTGGGAGGTAGAAGACAAGAAAGAGTAACCCATGAGAATTTGTAAAGTGGTCAACAGTCTGGTTGTTTCCTGCCAGCAGTTCAGAGATGAGTCTGATATACTCCTGTCCTTTTACCTAGTCTGTTACTGTCACAGGAAATTTGTGGTTTTCCACTCTATGGGTGGTGAAACACTAATTAACAGACTTTCCTACATGAGCACAGTTGGAGTGAACAGGGAAGACAAGGTCACTCCTGTTAGACCACAGTTCACAACAGCACAGGGACACACCAGGATCTGCTGTTTCTGGTGGTCTCTTTGGTGTCTCCAACTGAGTCTGGGAGGTCTGGATCGCGTTCTTCAGAGGTGATGTTGGATGAAGCAGTTGCTGCCAGATCATAAGTGTTCATTGCTACCAAATTGTCTTCAGCCACAAATTCTACTGGCTTCTCTTGCCTTCCCAGTCCCAAAGGACATTAGTTGTAGCCTGCATGTGCTGCAGTACAGCACCTGGGGCACCTGAAGATGACTTAGCATTTCTTCAGAGCTTGGGGCAGTTGCACACCTGCTGTGCTTACAGGGCCTTGTGAAGGTGTTGTGCTTGTTGGAGGGTCTAAGGTCAAGCTGTTGAATTTTTTTTTTTTTTAATTTGGTGGAGGAGGAAAGTTCCTGAAAAATAAAAATAAACCTGACATACTGAGCAGGGGCACTGGATGGCATGTTCTCAACTGGCAGAATGGTCCTATTTTGTTGGTATGTATTTGAATGGTGCTAGTCTGACCTGTGCTTTAGATCAGGGACCTGCTGTAATACTTGAGGCTTTTAGCCACCCATGACACATACTTGATACCAAGTGCAGAGCCAATGGCAGCTATGCAGCAGTAAAGCCACACCACACGCTCAAAGGTCAGCTCAATGGAAATGAGGACCTGCCCTCAAGGATACCTGCAGCATTTCCTGCATTTATTTTTCTTTTCCATACACGTGCTGAAGTTCTCAGCTGGTGTCATGTTGTCAGTTAAAGACATGTTGTCTCACTGAATGTACATTCCCTCTCCCAGGACAGGGAAAATTGCACTTTCTAAGAGCTGGTTGTTTGACTTGGAGGCAGAGGCGCCATGGATATGTGACAGCACAATGATGTGCACTGCTAGCACTGTGGGAGTGTGGGCAGCTCTGCACCTGCATTCCCAGCTGTCTGACACATGGATGTGTGAAACATCTGAGATCTGATACTGCCACAGCATCTCATGATCAGTATCCAGGTGTGGATGTGATGTAGACAGGGCATATTTCTCTGGAGAAAAAGGAAGTTATTTGATCCAGCATATGCAAGGGAGTTGATGTACCAGACGGCTTTTGAAACAGAGCAAATGGTCTGTCTGATACATCCCATTCAGAAGTGACAGCATGGTGTATGCCTGTACGCCCTTGCACAGGGGCAAAAGTTCCCTGATGAAAGACCAGAACCACATGTGTAAAGCTGTGTCATGTGAGTTTTTACTCACACAGGTGATTTTGCTGAAAAAATTGTGAAACTCTTGCAAAGCACTCTCAAGTGATGGAGCACTTGAGCCATATGGGGCAGAACAACTATACTTATGTGGTTGATGGAATTTCTTTTGCTTTTTCTTGGCAGTGGAGAGAGTGGTGCTGGGAAAACAGAAAGTACAAAGTTGTTGTTGCAGCACATAATGAACCTATGCAAAGGTAACTCACAGCTGGAGCAGCAGATACTTCAGGTAGGTCATTGCAGGGTGGTGCTTGAAGGTGCAGAAGCAACACTGCTGCAAGACAAGTTGGCTAAGGCATAGGAAGCCTGCTGGTGAATCACCACTGGAAATCAGGGAGCCACGCATAAGATACATAAGAAAATAGTGGATAAGAATGGTGAGATAGCTGGCCACAAATTAGAAGGGTTAGTAAGTGAGTAATTCTGTTTCCTGGAGATGATTTTTAAATTAGAAAAAAAACTATTGCAATCATCTATCATGTTCTCTTTTACAAGAGATTGGTTACATTTTTCTAAATAATTTCCTGTTTGAGGTAGAACAAGGACTTTCATTAGAAAAATGAGACCTTGATTTAATGATACGGAGAGATGAAGAATTCACACACCTTTTAGTAACCCATCCTTGGCTACTTATACTGTCAGGCACATACCTGTTAGCTGGCTAAGTGCCATCCTTGCTCTTTTCATATATCTCTGCTAGCTCATTTTGAAAGGTATTTGACTCTTTGGTCTGAAATATTTCCACTTGAATTTCCCCCCAGGGAGTTGTGAGGTTTTTTTAAACAAATCATACTTTAAACCTTCCATGTGATAGATTAACAAGAGTGAGTTCTTGGACTATTTCATTTTAAAGTCTTCCTTCTCAGATTCCCTGTAGAAACATAGAGGTCTTTCTCTGTGGTAGCTTAACTTCAACCAGTGCCCACCAAGCCACTCTGTCACTCCCCCTCCTTAAGTGGACAGGGGTAGAAGAACATAACAAAAACTCATAGGTTGAGATAAGGACTGAGATCACTCAGCAACTACCATCACAGACAAGAGGCTCACTTTAGGGAAAGTTTATTTAATTTCTTGCCAATTAATGTCAGAGTAGGATGATGAGAAATGAGAACAAATCTTGAAACACCTTCCCCAACTCCTCCCTTCTCCGTAGGCTCAACTTGATTCCCAGTTTCTCTCTACCTTCTTCCCTCCAGCAACACAGGCAGATAGAGAATGGATGCTGAGGTCAGTTCATTACAGTTTATCTGTGCTACTGTCTTCTTCCTCATGTTTTTCCCCTCCTCTAGCATGGGATCCCTCCCACAGGAGACAGTCCTTCAGGACCAGACTGTTCCACTGTGGCTGCCTTGACATAATGCACTCCTTCAGGAGCAGACTTCTCCGGTCTGGGTCCCCTCTACAGGGTACAGTCCTTCATGAATGGGGTGCTTCAGTGTGGCCCCCCGCAGGGTCACAAGTCCTCTATCAGCAAACCTGCTCCAGCACAGGCTCCTCTCCACAGGCCACAGGTCCTGCCAGGAGGGCTTCCCATGGGGTCACAGCCCCCTTAGGCACATCCACCTGCTCTGGTGTGGTTCCTCCAGGGGCTGCAGGTGGATCTCTGCTCCCCCTGCCCCTCCCTGTGCTGCAGGGACAGAGCTGCCTCACCAAGGGCTGCACCAGGGGCTGCAGGGGAATCTCTGCTCTGGCTCCTGGAGCTGCTGCTGCCCCTCCTCCTTCGCTGACCCTGTGTCTGCAGAGCTGTTCCTCTCACACACCCTCACTCTCCTCTCTCCCTTCTGT